TTGTCAGTTTCTGTCCAGATTGCCTGAGTGAATGTCTGGAGGTGTAGGCACCTCGGAATGATTGTGTTAAGCTAGAACTAAGTCCCTCCCCCATCCATCTTTATTCTTTTCTTTACAATAAGGCTTTCAAATAAGTCATGGTTGTACGGCAGTGATGCATCGGTGTTGAACACTGATGTCATGCTATCGATGATGATGGTGATGATGATTTGTTCGAGGACCCTGTTCGTGGCGTCTTACTCATAAGCGACGTGCACCCTGATGAAAATTCCTTGAGATTTGCCCCCCTCCCTGAAGGAAGCCGCTTTATATGGTGAGTTCTTCCACGTGGTAGTCTTTCTTAGAACATCCAGCAAAAAACGTCACTAATGAATGGTTTCCTGGTTACTTAGCAGCATATAACGTTTTCAAGATTTATTCGTCTTGATGTTTTAGTCCTTTTTGAAACGGAAAGACTGGGAAGCAGTAACTGAGGGTCTGAACTAATCTCTCACACTTTGGATAACCGATTCACGTTTTGCCTCATGGATTCAGATGTGGGGGCCGGGATGTACGGTTTAAGGAAGCTTTATACAGTAATCTCTCCCACAATAATCGCAGCGGCGAAAGGTTTTTGCCTCTTGGACAGCAACTTTCCTCAGGAGGTCTTCCATGAGGGAGTTACTATTTTGTTCGTTTGTCATCACCTCTAACCGTATTAGACGACTCTGAATGGAAGAATTGTTCGTTTTCCCCGACATTTAGCTGTATACAATTTGTAATGCATCGAAATTCATCCAGTCTATATGCCTTTTTTGTTCAGAAAGTATTCTATTGACGTCTATCGACTTATGGCCATCGCTTCTGTTCATGACGCACGCAAGGCCGGTGCCGAGGTTGTTAAACAAGTGTCCAATCCACTGGTTTCTGGTCTGCTGTACCCACTTTTGCAAGCGCTGGATGAAATTCATCTGGGCGTCGATGCTCAGTTTGGTGGAGTGGACCAGCGCAAAATTTTCATGCTTGCAGAGAAGGTAATTATACTGTAACCGACTTCGACACCTTATTCTGGTTTTGTTTGCGATCTCCCTGCTTCGTGTTCTCAGTGTTTTCAGAGAGCTCTGGCATCGTTCACCTTAGGTGGTATAAGGTTCTGTTTTGAATCTCGATAATTAATATCGTCTTTGTCACTTAGACTGGTCACCATCTCACGTAGTCGCGGAAGTTCACAATGGAGCGACTCTTTCTCGTTGACTCACAGTTGGATCTACGGTCTCCCTCCCGTTTATCCTTTCAGTATTTGCCTCACCTTGGACACAAGAAGTGCGTGCATCTTATGAACCCAATGGTCCCTGGACTGTCTGGCACAAAAATGTCCTCCTCAGAGGCAGATTCAAAAATCGACTTGCTGGACGATGCCCAGTCAGTCGAACGTAAACTTTCCAGTGCAATATGTGCTCCAGGTGTTTCGGCCGATCAGGGCAATGGCGTACTGGCCTTCCTCAAGTACGTTGTCTTCCCGTTGACGAAACCTGAATCAGGTATGTCGTTTTTGTGGGTTTCGATCAGTTTCCTGTGCTGTTTGTGCGATAAATGTTGTGGCAGACGATAGAATGTACCATCATATATTATATGGGCTGGAATAATGGTATTAGGTCCGGAAGGTCGGTGGTTCTAACTCGACCTCTGCCTCTCAGCTTCCCCTGTCTAGGCTTGGGCAACCTGGCAGTATCCCAGCCCTCGTGCTTCCTTCGGGTAGCATGGCGGCTATGTACCGTAAGGGTGTTACAGCTGAACGATTGTGGCAGAGCCAACTGGCCAATTTTCCACTCTGCTTACAAGGTTGTTTCCTTTGGCTCACTTCACTCTACCTGCATGACGAATTATGTTGCCAACCTGACACCCACGATCTTCGTCTGATACTTTGCTTTGAAAGTGTCCGCTCATCTGCTTCTGTGCTGTTTGGTCGATAAATCCTTCCCCCTTGTTCACGCAGTCGTGTCCTGAAGTTTTTACTTTTCACTCTCTGGGTGTAAACAACTAACACGCATCGAGGAGCGTAAACACTCAATGCTGTTGACCCATAGTATCCTCACAAGGGCCGAGAAAAGCAGTCAACTCTTATACTCTCGTTTATTATCGCAGTACACTCACCTTCTGTAACCTGCAGGTTTTCACAAGCGCTTGATCCATTGTTTGATAGCCGTCATCCACTACGCAGGCTACACGTGTGTGCTATCCACGTCGCAGCCACTGCCTGCTTTGTTGGTTATATCCATGGGGTTCACTTGCTAGTGCCATACCACTCCTGTTGTGACCTTGGATAATGGCGACAACCAGCAACCGTCAGTCACCGTTGTCGATGGGAATAATAATGACGATAATAAATACTGTTGGTTAAGTGCCATACAACCAGTGATGACTCAGAACCGTGACTGGTCTTGGATGGCGTTAGCGTGCTAGTAGCGAGGTGATTGGAAAACTGGTATTTGGTTGTGCGGCAGTTAGGTACTTCATTTGGGGAAAACCTCCAGCACCACCGAGTACGATGGCTCGGTCGTGTGCTACGCATGCCGAAACACTACCGAGACGAGTGTTGTTCTCCGTGCCTGCTTCAGAATGGCGTGAACTGCGAGGTGGACAGCTCATGACTTGGCAGAAGCGCGTGAAGGAGATCACGAGGAGTTTGGGTGTTGTCGGTGTTGCACACCTTCCAGGATGGTGTCCCGGTGACCTAGCCTGTGCTTGGCTGGAGGCGTTGCAAGAAATGGCGGCTAATCGATGTCAGTGACGTTCGTGTTGTCAGTTTCTTTCCAAATTGTCTGATTGAGCGCTTGAGGGTGTAGGCACCTCAGAATACTTGACATAGGCCAGAACTCTTTTCTCTTTTCACTCTAGGGCTTTTACTATATATATATATATATATATATATATATATAACTAGACGAACCCTATGATTGTACGGCAGTGAAGGATCAGTGTCAACACTGATGTTGCTGTCTTTGAAGATGGTGATTTGGTGATGAAAACAATGAGAAATGGTCCGGTAAAGGATGGACAGACAGAGGAATGGTGGGTACTTGTTACTCGATGACCGAACGCTTGGATCTGACCGGTGTCCTCTAATGGGAGGGTTAAAGTTTCGCAACCGTAGACCGTTGTTATATTTCCTTTGTACACACGATCCTTTAGCTTCAGTTCTGATGCCATAAATGATGCAATTACGCAAATCTTGCGCCTTGACAATGTATGTATTGACTTCTACCATGGTACAGTCAAAGCCTATTCAGTCGTTCGAATAGGTATACCGTTCCTCTCTCCGAAGTTTTACAGGAACACACGGGACTCAGCATCCTGAAGCAAGGTATACCGTTCCTCTCTCCGAAGTTTTACAGGAACACACGGGACTGAGCATCCTGAAGCAACACTCTGCGCTTTGTACGGCAGTGAAGCATCAGTGCCAACACTGATGTGGCTGTCTTTGATGATGATGATGATGATGATGATGATGATGGTGATGGTGATAATGATGGCTGCACTTTGCAGATGCAGAACGCATACCGAAACAAGGAATCACACCAGAGCTCACATTTATGAGCAGACTGATGGTCATCGAATAGCAAAACAATATCGTCCGCCTAGTTCCAGTCCACTAGTCTTTCTCTGCGTGTAATTTCGATAGCATGAGCTTCGTCCCTCGCTTGCCGAGCTACAGTGATTGGGTGAATAGTGGAGGCAAACGCCCCATCCGTGTAATTGGAACCATAACCGCCTGTCTTTGTTGGTGGTACGAGCAATGTATAGAACAGTGCAAGCGCAGTTGGTAGGTAACCTCAAGGAGCGCGCGCCTTCATTACAAGTTAATATTCGACCCACTGTTCTCATACTGAGCTTGCTAGCTAGTAAACGCAAGTCAACCCATCCCGCGAAACTACTGAGATTTTATAGGGATCTATGGGGATTCCATTCTGCCAAGAACGTGAGAATCGCTGGTAGTATGCAGCTTGCGAATCATAGGTGATTCAAACCTGCAAGTCCCCCGACTAGTAGTCTTAAACCATACTGTTCTTTCACGATTGGCAGGTCAGCAATGTGATAAAAACAATGTGATCACACAACCCGCATCACGTGGACACGTGTTGACTGACTTCTCAAATGGGGACCCACGCAACTTGCAAACTCCCCAAGCGTTGGTGCATTGTGGGGTTCAGTCGGCTGCAGCCCGTAAGGTTTTGAAATGGGATTTCGTTTTTTCATATGTATAACCCCTAGTTATCAGTTATAAGCCAACCGAGTTGCCTGTGGATATTCTCTTTCCCGTTCTACAACTCATGTATATTCCCTGTGAGCTCTTACTGTTGGCTCTGTTTGCTACTTACCATCCTTACTACCATTCCTTATGTGTATAGGGGAGAGAAGTCAACGCGTTTCTGCAACAAACCAGAAAACCGTACTGTTCAAACACGAGTCAACCGTGTCAGCTGAAATCGATCACCGCCTTACTCGGTTTTGTCTCTCTTTCCCTCTCTCACGCACAGGACTGCTTATCCCCGGGCACAGCGGACCCTACCATGACTACAGTAGCCTTGAAGCGGATTACCTCTCTGGCCACGTGGATTCTGATGCTTTGAAACAGGCTGTGGTGAAGTGCCTAAATTCCCGCATGGACGTAATCCGGGCTGATTTTAACACCCCGGAGATGGCTCGTCTGGTGGAACAGGCCTACCCCTCATCCGAGGCGAACGGTCTTAGCAATGGTAAGTTTGGTCCTCATAACCCCGGCTGATATTCTCGCATCTGCGTTGCATTTTTACAGCTCCTGGTTGGTTTGCTACTCTACGAGACACCATCTGGAGACTGTTAACAACCTATTTGCCGTTTATCAGTTCGGGTAAGTAGTTGACTGTTTAATCAGCTGCCACTTTCTCCCAGGGTGGGAGGGGGCTGAATTCACAGCCGTTTGCTTATTGTGGTGTGTTTCTGGTTGCATGTCTCTCTGTACAGTTCATTTGTGGTGTGTATTTACTTGGTGCATTGTTTTCATTCACTTGCTGTGGATTCATCGGTCTTTGGGTTGTCATGTCCGGTGCCCTGTTGCGTTTGAGGGCAGATAGTGTCACTTATTTTTATCGTACCATTTTCGAGGAAGCAAATGGTTTAAGGGGCGAGATGGCTCCGTGGTTAGAGCGCGACCAGAAGGTCGTTGGTTCGAACCTGACCTCTGCATCTCAAAATTCCCTATCTAGGCTCGGGTAACCTGGCAGTATCCCGGCCCTCGTGCTTCCTTCGGGTGGCATGGCAACTAGGCACCCAAGGGGTATTACAGCTGGACGATTTTTTAAAATTTATTAGTGGTCATCGTGGTTTATGGTACCACGGTAACATGTAGGTTGCACACCAGAGGACCAGTGTGGAGAGACCGGCTTTTGGTTACGTACAGGCGGTCTTATGTTCAACACAAATATAACTTTGGGTGGAATATAACAGCGAGGACTTAGCGAAATGCACTCGTTTGCATACCGATTTGGTGTTGATGGAACCCAGCTGCATCTCTCTTTCATGATTTTTCTAAGCAACTGAATGTGCTACACCAGGCCACTTGATAAACGAGGGATTCAACTGGGTTCGAGATGACTCTCCCGTGAAGATCAAATTGATCAAATTGATCGCATGAGTTTATTGGTCAAAATCTATCCAGTTTGGGTTCAAGTAGAACATAAGGTTGGCCGAAACTCGGGGACCGCGCCTACTTGATGAGCCTGAAGAAGGTAACCGCCTATTTTAGGCTGTCAAAGTTTCCAGCAACCTTATGAGTAGTGCATTATGTCTACACAATGTATCGCGATATCTCGAATATCGTGACAACTGAAACATGAGGCGGCCTGCTGCAA